ACTTGGGATTTGGTTCCCAGGACCCACAAGATGGCCCCAAACCAGCTCTAATTCCAGCTTCAGGGATCTGTTGCCCTCTTCTGGCAACTACAGGCATTGCATCCATGTGTTGCTTAGACATCTGTGAAGGCAAAACACCCAAATATATGAAGTAAAAATAGGTCTAAAAAGAAAAAATAAAAAAAAAAAATACACCACCCAACCATGATGAATGACTTGACCCATGTCACTTTGGAGGTCTCAGTAGTTACCAAGAGAAGGGCAACTTCACACCAGGTGAGTCAGACTTAGCCTCCAGTATGGCTCAGAAGGGTCAGTCTCTCGGATTTGAATTGGCGCTTTAGACCGAGGAGAAGCAGGAAGGGAAGGTTTCACATACGCATTTCAGTCTAATGCAATGGGTAAATTCTCATTATGGAAGTTAAGTGAGAACCCAAGAAGAAGACGCCAAGCCGAAAAGACCGGTGTTTGGCCTGCGCCGCAAGACGTATGGGAAGAGGGATTTCATTTGCGCTCTCGACATTCTGTAAATGAGCCCACAGGATCGGGGAAAGGCACGCGGCCCAGATTGCTCAGCGCAGACCCAGCCTGCTCTGATTAATGGCAGCTGTTGTAGAGAAGCGCAGCCAAAGGCTCGGAGGAAAAAATGAAGCCTTGCCTTTCTTAAAAATAAGCGCGGTGACGCCAAGAGTGACAGAAACGGAAGGTTATCATAGATTCTAGAACCTGCCAGATTCAGGCTCTGTAGGTGGGGGCTCAGACCAAACGTGTGAAGTTGAACTTCATTTCTGTAGACAGCCAGTGCTGTAAGTGGGACCGTTGTTGTACTTACTCATTTTAATGTTCAGGGATGAGGTTTGCAAGGGACGGTCGGATCAGCTAAGGGCTTCCTCGGCTGTGTGGTTGTGCCGCTATGATGTTGGGAGGCTGCTCTGAGGGTTTTCTTACTGATGTCGGATTTTATCTTGGCAGTGTCTTGGTCGTGAGAAAAGTACCCTTTCCAGTTTATCAGACAAGCCCAGCATTACACACACACACACACACAAAAAGTCCAAACCAGCCTGTCTCCCTACGCTCTCTATTGCCGAATGAGTATGCATCCAAAACAGGGTCGCAGGGCAGAAAGCGCAGCTGACTCTGCTGCCCATCCGCGGTCCTGAAACTGAGTACAGAAATCCCACCGAGGCTTCCTGGTGATGCTTCAGCATACACTAGAGAAAAGATTCCTCTAAACTCCTTACGGAATCCCGTAAGATGGGTGGGACTTTAATGTTAGACACAGCCGTATGAACAAGACCGAGATGTGGCAGAAGTGGGAACGCTAGGGATGTAGAAACAGAATATAAGGCCTGGGTATTTCCTGAGTTAGACATAGTCACACTTGGCTGCTGTGGACGCACAGGGGAAGGAGGATGGACTTAGTGGTGAATTTAAAGTCCCCGTTACCACATAGAGAAGGGGGCATAATAACTCCTTAAGACAACAAAATCCAGACTGCTTTTCACTGGAGAGAAAGAACAACATAAATGTTCAGTTGGGTTTTTTTTTTTTTTTTAATGTCTGAATGTTATTCAAGGACAACTTAATCTGACTTTGGTCTTGCTGGAGCTGTTTCCTCATTGAGACCGCTCCAAAGATGGATAACAGAATCAAAGAAAGCTGGCTAGCAGGGTGAGACCAAATTGTGTGTGTTTAATATGAGGGACACACCTTGATCATAGGAGTGCCTCAACAGCCAAGCGATCACCTATACACCTGGACTGGACCTCTGTTCTCCTTAGGACTCATGAGGGAACCTCGGGCGGATGCCTCTTGTATCCGTGATCATTGCAGAAGCCAAGTGGGTAACCTTTCAGACAAGAGCTCTCAGTATCACTGGTGGTACTTGAGAGGCGAGCCAATGCAGGCTGATGGAGCTCGCTCCTGTTTTGTGTGTTGGGTTTATAGTCAGGCTTAAGTCTCAATCAGGGTTGAAACAGTGAAGGACGAGACACCATCAAGAGGAAAGGCCAAGTGAATGGCTTCACAACAAGCCCTTAACAGCTGTAGACCCCTGTCTGGGCGGAAGTAGTGTTTGTTTTGTTGTTATTGTTTTGGTTTTTTTTTTGCAAATCGATACCTTTGGACTTAGTGGTCGCGAGTGATGTCGGTCCTGTTTTTGTGTGGAGGAGTGTTGGTCTTGCTCACTTCAAAGAACTGGGTCTGAGCTCACATGGCTTGAAAATCAGATTTAACGGCTCATATAAGTGAGGCGATCAGGAGGAGCTGGAGTACAGCCAGATCAGGGGTTCAGAGACTACGCATGTCTCTCTTCCTCTCTGTTGGCTCCTTAGGCTCTTTGTTTACAGTAGCCAGCGCCCCATTTTAATGCACGGTTCTGGGTTCCCCTCTCACTGAACTGGCCTGGCAAGAGGTTTGGTGTTCATACCTGGTTGAGGGTTGCCGTGGTGTGAGTGGTTGCTTTAGTCCAGAATGCCTGTTGTAACCCAATCCCCTATGCGACAGTGCTGGGAGGCAGGGCCCTGCAGGAAAACCGAGGACTAAATGGATTAACACCACTATAAAAAGGTTCCGGGAGTGGGTTTCCTTTCTCGCTCTTCTGCCATGCAAGGTTAGTGTCTCTGTATTGAAGACACCGTCTTAGAAACAGAGACCAGGGTCCCACAGCAGATGCCAAGCCGGCAGGCGTCTTGGTCTTGAACTTTCTGGTCTTCAGAACTCCCAGAAATACATTTCTGTTTTTGACAAGTCATCCAGGCTGAATCTGTTACTGCAGCCCCAAACAGGCTAAGACCAGCAGAGCCAAGGCCGCCGAAGTGAGTGCACTCAGGCTGTGTGTGGTGACGCTCTACACAGGAATCCTACTGACGTGACCTGTCTGCCTCAGCGAATGACTCTTGGCATGATCCCAAGCTCCTATAGGAGACACTAGACCAAACAAAGACGCTAGGGTGTCCAGATTGTTTCTTAGCAGACACTGCACATGGTAGTGTTTTGAGAAAGTCCAGATACGTTCTGGTTGGCCAGAGCCCGTGTTTGTCTAGCTCAGCTTGTAAGCCCCTTCCTCCTGCCTTGGGGCTCGGGGCTCTCATCCTTTCTTGCTATTGCGGAAGACACGCGTCTGTCCGTAAGCCGGCACTGCCATTGCTGGATCTGTTTGCCTTGCCTCAGTCTCTTGGCCCAGTTGGTGGCTTGTTATCGTGCACCAAGAGTGGGTTTTTCTAAAACAGGAGCACTGACATTCTCAAGATGACTACATTGCCTGTGCACACTCCTGGCCATCGTGGCAGAATACTCATTCTTTGTTTTGGGCTATTTTCCTTTGGTATCACATACCTGAAGCTGGATCACACTATCAAGGAGCTTGTTTCGGCTGACACTCCTGGTGGCTGTGAAGTCTAGGGCTGGTTACCACAGAGCTACGCCCTGACCCATGTGTGGCAGAAAAGTGGTAAACTGGTGTGTGTGTGTGTGTTCGTATAGAGAGGTGTTGTCTAACAGCCCTCTGTTGGGAGAACTAACCTGTTCCCTCTGTAAGTGTAATAGTGGAACCCTCAGAAGCCAAGTGCCTACCACTAGGAACCAGTCCCTAAAGCTGCCACCCAGAAATTCCAGGAGTCTGGTGGACACTGATGTCACTCTAACCATATAATTACGTTTCCAAATGCTCGTCTGAATTTTGGCTTGAACCTGTCACTTCTAACGTCTGTCACTGAAGAGGGATGTTCTGTCTATGCTACTCTGGATCGAAGTTTCGGGTGGTACTTCCAGAAGAGGGACAGGGTACCCACTACAATGATGAATTGTAGAAATATTTAATAAAGGTCTCATTGGGAAACCGTATAGAGTTCTGGAATCACCTTAATGGCTCTATGGAATCCATCCTCTTTCGATGTTAAAGATGGAAGCTCTCCCCTTCCCCCCCTCCCCCCCTCCCCGCTGATCAGGACTTCCGTGTGTTCTAATTAGGTTTATATTTGTAAGGAAATGTCAGCCATTTCCTAGAGAGGGAATAAACACACCCAGAAACTTAGCAGCTGGCAAAAGGCTCTAAATACCTTTCACAGAAGGGAAAGCCAAGAAAAGGGGTGGGGGTTGGGAAAAGGGATTGTTTCAGTGCACTGGTAGACAGCAAGGCTGACTTGGTGCACTGGCTCAGACAGCTGAGAATGCTGGCATTCAGAAGTCGGGCCATTAGCGCTGTCCCAGGAGGCCACTTTGTTAAGGGGGATTAGAGACGTTGCCCGTAATTCATAGGCAGTCCGGGCTTAACCTTCTATTTCCCATCACATCAGAGCATGCTTGTAGATTGTCTCCACATACTTCCAGCCCCTGCTGAGGGAGGGACTTGTTCGCATTTTCTATCGGCCTGACAAACCTGCCAGGGTGGGAAAACCAACTGTTGGCTGGACTAGAGGACTTCGGGGTCAGTGAAGCGCACCACATCTTCCTTGGCAGCCATCCGCGGGACTTGATGCTTGCGGTTGCCCTAGCCACAGACGGCGATGCGAGCTGTCATTGGATGAACGCTAGCAGGCGCATAGAAGCATGTTCATCGCTTATGTACTTTACATGTAAAGAACTTAATGTCTTTATACTGAACTAAACGTGTACGTAGCAGATGACCCTACTTTAAGATTTCCAGCTGAGTTTTTAAAGGGTTCATTAAGCAGTGGGCGTGGGAGGGGCAGTGTCTGCCCCCCCCCCCCCGGGGGGTTTAATTCCTGTGGATTCTTGCGGCTTATTCTGCGGTCTACTTTGGTGACCTGACTCTTCCACTGAATGCAAGTCCTTTGTCTCCTAGAAAAGAGAGGCTGCCTGGGCCCGTTTCCTAATGAGAGCTATAATTTGGGAGAGATTGGGCTATGCTGGAAGGAGGCAGGCCTTTGAAATACGTGGTTTATGAAGGAGCACGACCTACGCGGTCTCCTGGCCTAAACAGCCCGTCGGGAACTTGTGAGACAAGCGCAGGACATCCTAACGCATCCTTTGTTCCGCAGAATGCCTGTCTGGGGCGGTGGAAATAAGTGCGGGGCCTGCGCGAGGACCGTGTACCACGCCGAGGAGGTGCAGTGCGATGGGCGGAGCTTCCACCGCTGCTGCTTTCTGTGCAGTGAGTATGGTCCCCCTCCGTCTTTACAAAGGCCGCATCTAAAAAGCTCTGGTTTACCTTTGGAGGGGAAATAAACCTTAGCTAAGAGTGATACTTTAGAGTGGCAAGTGGTTTTTCCGTTCTAGTCTTAGGACACCGAGTGCCCCGCCCTCTCTTATGGCTACTTGGTCTCTGCAGTTGTTACCTGTGTCCCTGCTTCAGTGAGGACCTGGTGGCAGCTGGACTGTCTGGCAGCTACCTAAGTTTCTGGCACACCCTGTGTGTTTGGCTTGGTTTTGATAAGTAAGTTGATCTTTCCCCATTTCTCTTCCTAGCTGGGTTCCTCTCTGACATGTTCTTAGCACACCAGAGGCTACTGCGAGCTGTTTCTACAGAAGCTCACATTTGACCTTCTATGGTATTGTTACTTGTAGTTATTGGTACCCTTCATTTGGGAGAAGAGTGTAGGTCACCAAGTGTCCCTCTGGGCATGATGGGAATTATCATTGTTTGTTAGGTGCATGGTAGGAAGTATGACGCACAACGACATATATCTGTGTGTTCTGAAGAGTAAACACCCCATAGTAAGAGAATCAGGAAGAGAGAAGCCTGCTTATAAGCGGTAGCCTCATGGCTTGAGAAAGCCTCCTCCCCGTCACATGAAGAACTTCATGTGAGCAGAGACCTGCCTTGTCTACAGTGTTACCCCATGGAGAGGACTGTATGGTAAACACAGTTTAACATACACAGTCCACATCTTAAGCATGAATCTACTGGTCCAGGCGTGGTAGCACAGACTTTTAAACCCAGCAGTCAGGGGCAGACATGGGCAGATCTCTGAGTTTGAGGCCAGTCTGGTCTACATAGCAAGTTCCAAGGACACATTGAGACCATGCCGCCAAAAGCTGCTTACGTTAATTAAGATTTAAACTTGAGGGAAACGCTTTCGAATGTGGCTTGTCTCGCCTCTATGGATGCCAGCATTCAAGCTGTCTGGACCAATGTATACACAGCATGACTGCTTCCCAGAAAAAACAAAAACCAAAAACCTAACAGAACTGTGCTTGCGAAAAGGAGAATGATTACACATGCCTGTTTTTTTGTGACTTCATTATGGCTGTTCCTCAGATTTGATTGAACTGTTTCTTTTCCGAGGCCATTCTGTGATTTCTTTTTAAAGGGAATCTGTATTTCAACAGGCACGGAGCTAAGCAAAATGTTGGAACTCTAAGAAGCAAAGACTTTAGAAACCGGTCTCATTTTTGGGTTAAGCCCCGATAACAACATCAGTGTTTAGTTGCTGTCTGTCAGGTTTTTCGCTGGCTAGCTTTACTCTTTCCTAATACTCAGCTGACGAAACCTTCCAGGGTAGCTCTGGGTCACCCGCAGCTCTGTGAGGATTCCCTGCAGAGCCGAGGGCTGAGGCTAACAACAGCACATGGAGGTTTTGAACCTGTGCTGGGGTTAACGTTAACATGCACGGGCGTTTTTCCTGTTTCCCGGGCAAGTGCTCTATCCGTGAGCGATATCCCCAGCCCTAACATACATGTTTTTGAGAACAGGTTTTGTATGAACTTATGCTGGTTAAGGCTTAAGGGCTGGAGGTTAATATCTTCTAAGCGATTACATTTTAGCATTGAGCCTGAAGTCCATACTAACGGTCACTTATTATTCTTCTAGAGAGCACTTAGTCTAAGATATTAGAAGCCCTGGCAAAGCAGCCAGCCAGCCAGCTGTTCTTCTGCTTACCTCCCCTCCTCCCCTCCTTTTTAAGGGGGTAAAATTCCTCTCTATTCCACTAAGCTTTGGTTTCCAGCTGCCTGACTATACCACCAGTGAGTTCCCGCACAAGGTTTTTTTTTTTTTCTCTCTTTTCTTCCTTCCCAAGCTGATTTGAAGTTTTAGAAAGTGAACTAATGTCTGCATAAAGCATGATGACATTTGGCAGTTTTATGAAGTGGGGTACGTAGAAATGTTTTGTGGTAAAACATCCATCAAGAAAGAATGCATTCTCCTTTGAGACAGGGAAAACAAATGCTGGCTTCAAACTGCTTGATAAACCACTTGATGAGTCTCAGACCCGCTCATCCCTGCCAGGGAAGCTGGAAGAATGAGGTTTCTTTTTTTTTTTTCCCCTCATTCTAGACTACAGATGAAATCTAGAATTTTGGATTTAAATCTTCATCTGGAATGTGCTTTTAGGAGAGAGAGGGCTGCAGAGGCAACTCCAAGGCGCTCACTGCTCTTGTTCCTTATTGGGTCGTGATGCAAACATTTGGTTATGACAAGGCAGAAAGAATGGGCGCTAAAGGTTGAGAGGAAGGTTTGCTCTCAACAGGCGGGTTCTGTGCAGAATTTCAGCATCAGAAATTCTGACATTCTTGTGAAGCAGGTATCATACCTACCACAGAGGAAGGCTACTGAATCTGTAGGTGAAGGGGTTGCTGGACCTTTGGGAAACCATAGGATAAACTGTAGGAGGGAGACACCCTTTGCAATTTGGACACACCCACTGTTTTAAGATATTTATGTTATACATATATATGTGTGTGTATAATATACACTATTATTATACACACACACACACACATGTGCACACACATATTGTTAAACAGTGGTTAAAACCTAACTTCCCCCTCTTAGTGGTTTGCAGGAAAAATCTAGACAGCACAACGGTGGCGATTCACGATGACGAGATCTACTGCAAATCCTGCTATGGAAAAAAGTATGGCCCAAAAGGCTATGGTTATGGCCAGGGCGCTGGCACGCTCAACATGGACCGCGGCGAGAGGCTGGGCATCAAGCCAGAGAGGTAAGAGAAAGCTTGCTATTGTCTTAAAAGTGGGTAGAACAATTGCTGTTGCTCGGGTACCAGGAGCCTGGGAGTGTCTACATATTTAGCTTAACCTAAGCAAGCAAGATGTACTATGACCTCTACTAAACGCTAATGTAAACTCTGTGACATTCTAACGTCAAGATATTGACAGTTTTGTACTTAAAAGTCAGTGCGTATCGCAGGGACGTCTAGCCGTGGTTTTATCGGGAAAACCTAAGTCTCAAGGAAACTGACTTAAATTAACATTCCATTAGCACTCTGCAGATCAAATATCATGAAATAAGTGTCTGAATAAAGAGATGGTTCTCGTATGCAATTAAGCGGCCCATGGAAAGCCCTTAGTCACTCTTTCCTCAGGAAGTTACTGTCCTAAACTTAAAAACTGAAACAACTTCCTGCTTCATTTCATGCTGGGTAATTTCATGTGGAATTGCCTCTCCCTGTTCCCTTCCGTTCCTCTTTCCCTGATTGGGGACCAGGTCTCCAGTATGGTCCAGGAACCGCCACTACAGCCCCTGCAGGCAATGTTAAAATGTGCTGTACTTTTTACACTTGCCTTTTAAGCGCATTCCTGATTCCTAAGGTTCAATTTCAATTTTTTTTTTTCAAGATACATGCTCCCTCTAAACCTCCCCATCAGTGAAAACTAAATCCATCCATGACTCCCAAAGTCAGTATTTGTGCCCTGATCGGAAAAGCTCGCTGACGCTGACTCAAGAAGCTGCTCTTCCTGCTGTTGATCTTCCTTTCCAGCAGCGAGCAAGCTGTGCGCATGCCCAAAGTCCCGCTCTACCCCTGCCTCTTCTGTCTTGGCAGGTCCACCTTCTGCTCTTCCTTAAGGACTTCCTTTCCCAGAAGCCTCTCTTAATGACACAACACCCCTGGTTTGCCTTTCAATACACAGATTAAAGAGCTACACAGAGGTCTCCTTGAGAGATAGCACTGAGGTAAAGAACACTATCATTAAGGTAGCTTTTCAGGCCAGGTTTACGACTTAATTATTTTAGCCCATTAGCAAGTAAATAGCATCTTAAATAGCATCCGAGCCCCCCCCCTTTTATTTGTAATATGAAGTATCCACACCCTGTGAAGTTGTTAAAAGCCCAGAAGGAGTTGATCGGTGTAAAGTTCTTTTCTTTAGGCGGGAGGGAGGGCAAGGTTTCTCTGTGTAGCCCTGGCTGTCCTGGAACTAACTGTAGACCAGGCTGGCCTCGAACTCAGAGATCCACCTGCCTCTGCCTCCTCGGTGCTGAGATTAAAGGCTTCTACCACCACCACCTGACTTGTATAAACTTCTTTTTTTTTTTACTTCTTAATGATGTATTTGTAAATTTCTTCTTGGGACTCTAATCTTCAAGTGTTAGATGCCATTTTTAGTAAGTTTTTAAGGATCACCTTTTTAAAAAAGTAACTATCAGTAGGCTGTGGAAATGTTTTGAATACACACTATTAGGCACAACTGAAGAACCATACTGTGGATTCATACTTTGAAACACACACAACTAAAGATTGCCATATATATGAAACAATTCATGTAGAAAACTCGTAAGTGACTCAAAAACAGAGTGTAGAGAGATGAAAATTATTTAATGAAAAAAATCAGCATTTTGATATTATGATTTTACCTATGTGTGTGCTTTAACAGTGTATTACAGCGCAGGGCTGTCCTGCAGCACCCCTGACAACCTGACAACTTCGGGTTCTAAATGGCCTCGGTGGCCAAGAGCATGTTTTGCATGTTCTAGTGTGCCTGCTTATGACTGGGGGAAAACAGTCATGCTAATATGATTCACCCTCATAACCTGTAAGTGGTGGCAAAAATACCATCCTGCCACAAGGAAATGTAAACGGCCAAACAGAGTAGCAGGGAAATTTCCAGAATTTCTTTCCCATGAAGAAAATAGTTGACTCACACTTCACTGAGATATACTGAGCAAATATCTGTAAAATACGCCTTCCTTTCCCAGTTATGAATGACTTCAGGCAGCCAGTGCATTTGTAGGTATTTTTAAGCTAGCAGTGATCGACTGTGGGGGAGAAAAAGTGTTTAGACAAAGGCGGGGTGCTAGGGATTGCATTGTGTAAGTTCTGTTCACCCCCAGGGAAAGATACTTAAATTCTGGGTTGGGCTTGCCTTCGAGCACGGCTTCCTTCTGCCCACTGTGCTGCGGCACCCTGCAGGCTTCTGACCCTGCCAGAGGCTAGAGCTCCTCCTAAGCTTCTGAGGACGGTTGAGGAAACCTGGCCTCATTCTTTTTCCATTTCCTCAAGTGCTCAGCCGCACAGGCCTACAACAAATCCAAACACTTCTAAATTTGCCCAGAAATATGGAGGTGCTGAGAAGTGTTCCAGGTGTGGGGATTCTGTCTACGCTGCCGAGAAGATAATCGGAGCTGGAAAGGTAAGCTGCCATTTCTAGCTGGTAACGCTAGGCCCTTCACCCCAACCCATCCCTACTCCCCCCCACCCCTACCTCCTGCACTCTTACCCCCCCCCCCCCACACACACCTGTCTCCATTTCACACTTAGGCAATGTGTTCTGGCTTAAGATTAAGCTTCTCCAACTGAATTTACACCAGAATCACTAATTTATGGACGCGATAGCCAAGCTTAACCGTCGTGTTTAAAGAAACTCTTTTTCATCATTTCTCTATTTTAAAAGGCCCAACTGTGACCACCCGGCTCTGTACAGGTTCTGAAGTGTGATCAGGGCCAGGCCATTGGATGCTCAGTAGATACCTGGCCCTGGGAAAATACCACTTAGCTCCTTGGAGCTGCTAGGGTTTCAGTCAGGAAGGTGCTAACTTCTAAGCTGCAGACTGGATTTGCAGCAAGGCTGGAGCCTGCTCACTGGCAAACAGCCCTTTGTGCTGCCCAGGAGGGTCAGGTCTAGCACGGGGAACTTGCTTGTGGGTTGATGTTCCCCAGCCATTTGCTGCATTAACCAGACCAAAGGAAACAGGCCTCTTGGATGTCCTAACACATCTGTCTCTTCCAGCCCTGGCACAAAAACTGCTTCCGATGTGCCAAGTGTGGGAAGAGTCTCGAATCCACAACTCTGACCGAGAAAGAAGGTGAAATCTATTGTAAAGGTAAAATTCCTTTGTTTCGGCTCTTCCTGGGGGTCGCACAACCTTCTAGGTTAATGAGACATCTGATATAAAAAGAGAGTGTAGTGTCACGATGCAAGAGGTGTATGTGGCGCTGACCAGACCCTCCCAGTCCTGTGTGTAACTCCCCCAGGGCTAGGAATCTGGCCCAACAGTAAAGCGCTTAAGTAGCGCATTCCCAAGGCTGAGCCCGGTTGGCAGCACTGCCTCCCCAACTGTCTTTTGACTTCTTGCTTTAAACCAAGCATACGAGCGTGTGAAGGTAACGGACATTTAACTTAGCTGTGCTTGATACTTGTAACTCAGCAGGATTGTAACTGCTGTGGGAATTCCTGGCCTTGCTGCACACAAGGCTTGTGCTTGTGACAAGCACACTTTGTATCTTGAGCTGACCTCTGACAGAGTCTACAGTTTGCTTTGAAATGTATGGAATTTGAGGTAAGCAATGGCAGCAACCGTTAATGACCTCTCAGCTACTCTCCCTCTCCTTTGTAGGGTGCTATGCAAAGAACTTTGGGCCCAAGGGATTTGGCTATGGTCAAGGAGCAGGGGCCCTTGTTCATGCTCAGTGATGGTGTAAACCCAGAATGAAGCACCGCGCACACCAACTCGTCACTATCAAACACAGATGACTTTATGGCACTCACTACTGTGAAACTCCACCAGCATGCGGCACTGTGCGGCCACCCTCTCCCTGCACAGGCAGGCTGGACCCGGCAGCGCTGCGCCCCCGCTCGCTGATTCACTAGCATTTAAGAGCATTTCTTTTATGTTTGAAATAAAGTTTCGGCTTGATTTGTGTGCCTTTCTGAGTAAACCTTCTGGAAGAGTTGTGATTTCAGTGGGAAATCATTTGGTTCCTTCCTCCGGTGAAAAGTGCCGTGTGGATACAAAACCATCAACGTGTTGAATAGACAACTTAAGCACTAGGCTGACACCTGCACTGTGCAGGCTGAAGAAAGGTTTTAAAAATCATTTTTATTTCTGAGAATAATTGGCTGGGAGTAGCTTGGGGTGGGAGTGGGCTATGCCCTTTTGAAGGTGAGGCCACTAGCAGGTTTCCATGCGACACCCATACACATCTTTTTATCTGTCAAGATGTCTTGACTCATGGTTGCCAGGCATCACCCTCTCAGCTCCTCAGAGCCGGCCGTCAGCACTGCAGCGTCTCTTCCTTCTGCCCCATTACAGGCTGCTGGTCCTTACTCTTCTTTGTTGAAGCAGTTCCCCAAAGCGTAGGTGGAAACCGTCTACATTAGTATCGCCTAGGTGTGCACCGAGGCCTAGGGAGCTGGCTCAGTCAGTGTGCAACCAAGCATGCTTGGGTCCCAGCACCACTGCTGGTGAAGCTGTTGCTGTGGTACATGTCTGTAACCTGGGGTTGGTGGCAGGGGTCCCTGAGCTCACTGCCCAGCTAGCCCAGCTGAACTGATGAGCTCCAGGTTCATCTGTGATCAAAGAAAACTCCGTATATCACCCTCTGGCCTCTATAAGTCCCACTGCCCTTAGGACAAGGCTGTGCACTTGGGGGAGCAGGGTCTCCATTCCCCCCACAGGAAGGGCTGTAAACAAGGCATAGCAGGGCTTTGGCTAATGCACTTTACACAGATAGCTAGTAACTATAGTTAGCCTTGCCTAACAAATTTTAAAATCAAGACCAAAAAAGACAGACTTTTCCACATAACTAATTCCATAACAAAGCTCAAAACGTTTATAATACAAAAGTCTAGCAGCAATATAAAAGTTACTAGGCATGAAAGAAGGTGGGAACCCACTGAAAACACCATCAGTAATGAGGATGGGACCACCCAGTCACCAAAGCCAGCAGACAGCTGAGAAGAAAAACACCAGGAACACATATTTTCAAAGTGTAGAGAAAAGAATAATTAAACTTCCAAATCAGACATTAAAGCAATAAACTACAAAGTACAAGATGAAAATACCGATTAATAGAAATGGAAGGTTAGACCCTGCAGGAAAAATTATCAGCTAGTGATGGAAATTATGTAAACAGAGAAAAGCATTTCAACAACCGTGGAAGTTGGTGCCCTATAAACAGAACCTGCTACCCTGTTACCCCAGTGAGTAGCAGGCACTGCCTAACTGAAATATCTTGAGAAGGGAAAACAGAAAAATACTTGAAGAATGACTAAGAAATTTCCAAATTCGGTAAAACTAAATTGACAGAACCAAGGCAGCTGCAAATCTGATACAACTAAATCTAAATATCTAAGCCACAATGAACCTTTTTGATGATATAAATACAAATAATTACCAAAATGTCATCTATTAAAACTTCATCAAGCAAAGTGTGGTGATTTAAAATCCCTGCTACCTGGGAAACAGAGGCAGGTGGATTCCAAGTTCCAGCCTGGGCAAGAAAGTAAAAGATTCACTTCTAGTCATTAGTAAACAGAAACTAAGCTGGCTTCCTGGAGTGTGTGACTAGCCCAATACAGGTGTTTTACTCGCAACAACACATCTTCTATTTTAAAAGTTACAAATACATTTAACAAACATGTAAGCACTTTGTGAATGAAGTTAAGGGCGATTTTCTAACAAGCCTTGACCCAGGATAGCTCAGATTCCTCAGATAACTAACCTGAACCAGGCTCCCCATCACAGAACAGGCCTCCCACAGCAAGGGCAATGAAGCAATGAAGAGGGCACTTGCCATGGAGTGGAGTGCAAACCGCTGTCCCTCGAGCACTTCTGTTCCATATCGCAAACTATGATGTGAAACTACTCTTGAGTCCAGCAGCTGAGACTGCAGGAAAACACACGAATGATGGGCAAGAGTCTCACCACAATTTTGCCTTTTAAATTTTCTGTCATGCCTAGCACCTGAAGTGACCAGAATCAAAGTTTCATAAGTATCATTTTGCAACATTTTATTTTAAGGCTTTAGACATACTTATAATCAAAATCCAGATTCATAGATTTCCCAAGGTCCTCATTAACTCCAGAATCCAAAATATACTAAGAAAAAAAGTCTCCTTTTGAGAAACGAACACACACACACACACACACACACACACGGAGTTTAGAATATCACCAGTTTTACTCACTTATGTAAATTCCCACAAAATCCTGCAGCACTCGACTCCAATCTGATCATGATAGAAATATAGAATATTTTCATATCAGTTTCATCGCTTTCTTCGAAGTAAATTGATCAAACACCACATTTAAGAGTCAATATTTATTTTGATTAATATTTTACAAAATTTTGACAGGTTTAATTTATGTAAGGAGGACTAATTTATTAAACACTTTACAAGTTTTTCTTTCCACAGAGTAACACAGTAAGTAGCAAAATAATACTTGGCACAGTTATAAATAAAGAAAATATAAAATAAAAACATTCATAGCTTAAGTAAGATGCGTTTTTATGCCTAGTATTTAAAATAAACTACAAACAACAAAAATATGGATGAAAAAACTCCAAAGAATTCACGTCCAGAGCTGAGAACCCAGCAGAGCAGTAAGTGCTGCTCCGGAGGGCCACGTCCACACAGCCTGAGCGTGTGAGCAGGTTAAACTGTTGCACACAAGCCACACAGTAAGGAACGAGCAGATGCACGGATGCCTCCAGACCATCTGACAATGCTGGTGCAGACGTCATGAAGACCATGAAATGGTTAGTACTAAAAGCATCTCCTTGTAAATATTTCCCACATAATTACACATCTACAGGGTTTGTCTGCTTTACTGAGAAGCATCTCTTCTACACGGAAAGAATATTGTACCACAAAGAAAACATGGTAACAACATTCATATTCAAACAGAACCACCATAGTCTTTAACTGTTGATAAAAATGTATCTGATAAAAATTGCAACTGAGTCTTCATGTGAAGTGACTCGAAATACAAAATTAAAACAAATCCTAGCATTTTATAAATAACCTTTGAATTTAAAAATTACCTAAATTTCCCCCCATTATTAGCCAAAACTAGCAGAGACATTTGTACAGCTAACCAGTTTTTTTTACATTCTATGACAAAAAGGTACAACGCTATTACCACCCCACACCCATCTCTTCCCTTTTCAAAAATAAAGTACATATGCCAATTCTAATATTAAAACCCTTAAATACAATAAGGGTCATTTTGGGTGGGGTGACTTATGGTCAAAGCAATTACTATAAAAACGGTAGTACTGGAAATACTGCACATCAACTATATACATCTTCACTGCTCCTCTTACTAAGGCAAGGGGCGGGTATACCACTAGATTGCTTTAATACCTGTAGCCAGTATTTTACAGGGAATACTAATTTTACCTAGCACTGGACATGCAGTGAACTTGCAGGGTAGAGTGCCTATTAACAGTAATATTGAACATCACTAGAAGCTCATTAATATCTCCCTTTTCTTTTTGGTTGGACAAAATGAAATGAGCAGCTTTAAAAACACTAATACATATAGACACAAAGAGAAAACTATTTGATAAATTATTTATATACACATACACATTCTTTACACTGGTCTAGGGTCTGTCTCAGTCTGCCCCGCCCCATCCCCTCCCACAGGGAACCACAGTTTGCTACAGCATTTAAGAGGACTAAACCCAGTCTCACTGAAAACAATGCCATGGAAGCAGTGACAGTCACTCAGGAGGGTATGGAAACGCTGCAACAGAACTTGATTAGTGCATCACATTCAACAGTAGACTCCAAGACTGTTTCAGAAAGCGTTACAAACTTCAAAACATATTCAATATTGGAAAAATTAAAACAACCCTGGGGCTTAAATTCTATCTCTGATCGGTCATTAAAGAAAAGAATGTCCCGTTAGCTTCTCACTAATTCACATGTGCTATGTACAGAGATCATGCTCCATCTTTAGCTGAGACTCCATTATTTTGTCTACAATTTATTTTTCAGCTTAGAATTGAAAAAGAAGCATATCCACTTATCTCGATTAATATGAATTTTGCATTAGCTTATTTGTTTTGAACTTGTTGAAAATCCACCTCAACTTTTTAAAAAATTGGGCTGTTTGCACATGAAATTAAATCCTAATTTATGCTTCACTGGACGGCATCTGCGAGTACACATTCTATGCAGTGTAACATGCACTTAGTAGGGCTTTAAATGTCAACAAAATATTATGACTTAGTATACTCATGCAAGTGCTTTATTATCAGACCGTGAGACCTCAAAGCAAGGTTTCTAGAAATTATTTCACTGAACTAGAAGAGACCAGCAGTGCGACAGCTGGTGTAACGGAACAGCGAGCACATTTCCGTGAACATTATTTCCCCGTGCCTTTGAGAACACAGTACAGTAGATCTTTAATAAAACCACATGATTTTCATCACAGTATTTACATGTACATCTAAAATGTACATAATACTAGTCATCAATTTATGACAATTCTCCTGGAATAGATACAATACTCTTAAGTACTGCATAATACAATTTAGCCTCATAACACCAATTTTGCTTCCGTTATAACAACATGGACTCTCGGTATGCCATCTCTAGTAATAGAGTAGGTTCACTTTTTCATGACAAATGTTATGAGAACAAAACCAAAAAATTGAGTATGTTATGAATTCCTACATTAAGAACCATGAAAATCATTTTTATGATCTTTATTCTTCCTAGAAGTGGCAGTGTGTTCTGTCCATGTTTGCTTTCGTTAGTAAAAGTATTGAAAAAAAGACCATAAAATTCACTGTTAGCCCTACATACAGCATGCTATTTGTTCCAATGATGTGGATTCGAGTGAGAGAGAGACACGGACAGACACAATCTTCAGGCACCACTCAGCAAAATTGTTTCATAGGA